TAGTCATATCGGCGTTTGATAAAAAAAAATCAGAATATAGCACAAAAAAGCAACGGTCGGATGTTTGAATGTAGATTTTCGTGTTGGATTAACAAACATGGATGAGCATGAATACAAATATTATCATAATACTCTATGGCCATGTTGGAAGTGTGGGTTTGTGTTATCATGGGACTAATTTAGGTCAATGTTGTCCTTGTTGGGATTTTATCTTTGATTCATTGTGTAACTTCATGAGAATTAGATAGTGTTAGAATTCTATCGTGATTAGGAGTTTGGGTTTTATCATAATTAGGAGTTTGAATCTTATTCTAATTAGGAAGTTAGGCTAGAGATAGGGTTTTGGTTCCCCTATATATATTCTTCTATTGGTGGGGAAAAACCACGAAGAAAAAATAGAGATGTAGTAAATGAGAGAGTGAGAGAGAGGGTTTCGTAGTCTTTATCCGTGCAAAAGATTACAAGGAGTGGGTTTTGGAGAGAATATGAGAGTTGATTATGTATGTGAGGTTGAGAGATTGAGAGACGAGAGTTAAGTGGTTCTTCTTGTAGTTCTTCCTGATACATAGACATGTCCATCCGGGCCGGGCCGGACCGGGCAAAACCGGAGCCCGGACCCGGGTACCCCGGGCCGGGTTCGGGCTCGGGCCCGATCGGGCTGGGTTCCGGCCCGGCCAGGTTTATTTTCTTTTTTTTAATTCTATTTAAAATTTAAATTATACAAAAAAGATAAAATTTTTAATAAAAAACAATAATTTTATTAATCACTTAAAATGACATAAATTACAAATAAAAAATAATAAAATAATTTTTTTTATTAATAATTAATAAATTATTTATAAATTACAAGTATAAATTTATTTTAGAATTCATCGCATCACAATAGATAAGTACATCCTAACTAGGTTGGCACTTACTCACCTATATCACTATCATTTGTAACTATTTCTAAAATAATTCTTTACAATTTTTAAGCTAAGATATAAAAATTATAATTTGATGAATATTATTTATTCTTTATATCTATCTGCTAGTCTCAATTCTTCAAATTTATCTTTAATTCCAGCCATCTGATCGATGCCTTGCGTTCGCTTCTCGTATTTTCACCAATCTTGTAAGCACATCACCGCTTGTACAGTATACGGATCTAACCATGTCCTGTGGTCGTCGATCAAACGTCCTGCTGTGCTGAAGGCGGATTCCGAAGCTATCGTCGAAACCTGCACTATTAGTAAGTCACGAACCATGGT